TAAATTTTAACACATAAATTTTGGAAGAGACACATTCAAATTATGGCAGTTGGGTTGCTTCTCTTCAACTCCAAAGATAGATGTCATTGACAAAATACACCACTGAGAACCAAGTGAGATGCTAAGGATACAATTTAAGTAGCTACATTTTTATTTGTCTTCTCCTTGCTACCAAGACCTCCAACTTCACTGCTGCCACAAACAGAACTCCCTAAGTTCCAGAGTGAACAGCCAAAAGGTTGGCGCTGTATATTTACCCTGAAATATCTGCAGACTAACTCCTGAAATTAACCATCTGGAGTACCTTTTAAAAATAGTTTTCTAGATCTGTCTCATACCTATGGAATTCAAATCTGGAGGTCAAGTCTAATAATGTACATTATTAATAAACTATCCAAGTGATTTCTAGGTAGCCCAAAGTCTCAAAAACACTGAATTAAGCACATTCATCCCTTGGTGTCTGTGGAGATTGGTTCCAGGACTCCCACAGATACCAAAATCCATGGATGCTCAAGACCCTCATACAAAATGGTGTGGAATTTGCATATAACCAGTGTCTATCCTCCTATGTACTTCAAATCATCTCTAGATTACTTATAATACCTATTGCAATGTAAATGTTATATAAAGTTTTTATTATTTAGGGAATAATGAAATAAGTGTGCATGTTCAGTACAGGCACAATCGTCTATTTTCTATTTTTCCAAATATTTTCAATCCATGGTTGTTTGAATCTACACATGCAGGACCCACAGATCCAGAGGGCTGACTCTGCAAGAGGGAAGGCAAATTGGACTGAAGTGGTAAAGATATCAACTTAATTGAAATGAGGGATCAAATAGTATAATTCAACTCTATGTTTCTTTGGATATTAAATATCCACTGTCAAATAGCACTACAGGCGTACATTGTTTTATTGTGCTTCATTTTATTATGCTTTGCAGATACTGCATTTTTCACAAATGGAAAGTCTGTGGCAACCCTATGTCTAGCAAGTCTATCTGTGCCATTTTTCCAACACCATGTGCTCACTTCCTATATGTGTCACATTTTGCTAATTTATACAATATTACAAACTTTTTCATTATTATTGTATCTATTTTGGTGACCCGTGATCAGTAATCTTTGATGTTTCTCTTGTAATTGTGATAGAGTGCCACCAACCACAGCCATACAAGACCACGAACTCAATTGATAAATGTGTGTATCCTGATTTCTCCACCAATGACCATTTGTGTCTCCCTTGCTCTTCTCAAGCCTCTTTATTCCATGAAGAACAATATTGAAATTAGGTCAATGAATAACCCTACAATGTCCTCTGAGTGTTCAAGAGTCAAACATCTCTCACTTTAAATCAAATGCTAGAAATGATTAAGCTTAGCGCTCCATGTCGAAAGCTGAAATAAGCTGAGTGGTAGGCCTCTTGAGACAAAGTTAGCCAAGTTGTGAAGGCAAAGGACAAGTTCTTCAAGGAAATTAAAAGTGCTACTCCAGTAAACACACAAACGAGAAGAAAGCGAGACAGCCTTCTTGCTGACATGGAGAAAGTTTGATAAACTTTGATAAAAGACCAAATCAGCCACAACACTCCCTAAAGCCAACATCTAATCCAGAGCCAGGCTCTAACTCTCTTCAATTCCATAAAGGCTGAGAGAGGTGAGGAAGCTGCAGAAGAAAAGTTGGAAGCTAGAATAGATTAGTTCATAAGGTTTAAGCAAAGAAGCTGTTTCCGTAACATAGAAGTGCAAGGTGAAACAGCAAGTGCTGATGTAGAAGCTGTAGCAAGTTATCCAGATCTAGCTAAGATTGTCGATGAAGGTGGCTACACTAAAAAAACAGATTTCCAGGGTAGAAAAAACAGCCTTCTATTTGAATGCCATCTAAGACTTTCACAGCTAGAGAAGTCAATGCTGGCTTGAAAGTTCAAAAGACAGGCTGATTCTCTTGTAGCTAAGGTAGCTCGTGACTTTAAGCTGAAGCCAATACTCATTTATCATTCCAAAAATCCTAGAACCTTTAGA